TGATGATCCCCATTCTGGACCCACAGGTATCTCCCCTTCTCCCATCCCATCATTTGAGTAAATGTGTCTGTTGCTTGGTGTATTCATCTCATCAGTGTAAGTGATTGTAGAGAGAAAAGAGGGCTTTCATGACTGACACCCACACAACCCTGCCTCCACCCAATGCCGGTCAGCCAGCTTTGAGAGGTCGTGGGAGTGTGAGGAGCTATCAAAAGTAGACAGATTGGGCCGGGCGTTGGTGCCGCACACCTTTAAATACCAGCACTTGGGAGGCAGAGGCAGAGGCAGGCGGATCTCTGTGAGTTCTAGGCCAGCCTGGTCTCCAGAGCGAGTTCCAGGTCAGCCTCCAAAGCTACACAGAGAAACCCTGTCTCGAAAAACCAAAAAAAAAAAAAAAAAAAAAAAAAAAAAAAAAAAGATGCCCCAGCAGACTACCCTACAGGCCAGTCTGATGGAGGCAGTTCCTCAGTTGAGATTCCCACCTTTCAGATCTGTCTAACTTGTGCTGAGTTGACAAAACTAGCCAGCGTAGTATCTTCACTTAAAAACAGGATTCATAAAAATGGGGTACGTTCCCCAGGTAGGTAGAGGCAAGGCCAGGTTCACTCAGCTACATAGCAGGTTCAAGGCCAGCTTAGACTGTCTAGGGCCTGATCCCAGAAAATCCAACAGTGAAAACCTACAGAGCCCATGAGCCTGTCACCTGCCTTTGTTGGCTAGCCATCTTGTTTTTTTGTTTTGTTTTTCCCTTTGGACTTTGCACATGCTAGCATCCCTAACCCCTTGGGTTTTGTTGTTTTGTTTTTGTTTGTTTGTTTGTTTTATGGCTCTCCCTGGTGCCTGAGGAGGTCGGAAGAGTATGTTGGGTCCCCTGGAACTGTGGTTACAAACCTTTGTGAATCGTCTTCTACAAGAGCGACAAGTGCTCTTAATTGCTGAGCCATCTCTCCAGCCCACCTGTGATTCACTTATACACATGCATTTACCAGTTTGGAGTTGTGGTATAGAGTGTATTGGTCATTGGGCATTACGGTCAAAATCATGTGGAAACCACTGTTTGAGTGCAGTGTCTTCACTTTGTAGATGGCTTCTCTGTAGCCCACAGAGGTTATCAAAATCACACAAGGGCCTGGAATAGGCAATCAGGGCTAGAAGCCAGGCTTTTTTTCCTCCAGACCCATTTATGCCATTCTGGGAAAATGAGCAGAGATTAAGATCCCTACCCAACGCAACTACAGACCCTTTTTTGTTTGTTTTTTGTAAGGCCTTTTAAAATATTTTTAATAGTATATATTAATTATATGTAACAATGGATTTCTTTTTGGTTGGTTTATGAGATAGTCTTGTGTAGTTCAGGGTGGCCTCGAACTCAGTATGGAGCCAAGGATGACCTTGAATTCCTGACCCTCCTGTCTCTGCCTCCCAGACACTGGGAGGATATACGTGTGTGTGCCTGTGTGTACGGGTGCCCAAGAAGGGCAGAAGAGGGTGTCCATACCAGGGAGCTGAGTTACAAGGTGATTATGAGCAGCCTGCGGGTGCCGGGAACTGCATTCTAGGCTTCTGGAAGAGCAGTGTGGGTGCCGACCTGCTGAGCTATCTCTCCAGCCCCAAATGCTTCTAAAAACTCACCAGTAGCTGAAGTCTGGGCTGGGCTCTGGACTCACTGGCCAGCATCCTGTGTTTCAAGTATCTGTATCTTTTTAAAATGGGTATTTATTTGATCTTGTTGTGTGACACTGAGAGACTGGGCTTACTGCTTCTGTGAGCCACTGTCATGTGATCTTGACAAAAGTGCCTCGAGGGAAGGACTGCAGTAGTCTCCAGTTACAGATGAGAAGGCAGAGAAGAGAGTTGGTGTGGCAGAGGCCTCTGCTGATGTCTCCCCAGGTGATACCTCTGTCCTGGCTGGAGTGTACGGGCCAGCCGAGGTGAAGGTCAGCAAAGAAATCTTCAACAAGGCCACACTCGAAGTGATCCTGAGGCCGAAGATCGGGCTGCCTGGTAACTGGACTCAGCCAAACCTCCCCAGATGCAGTCTGTTAGGGCTCCCTGCCGCTTGCTTGGTCCAGGCTCCGCTCCCCTCCGTCTCTGCCCAGCTCTTTGTTTCATTTTAGTCCTTGCTGTACTGGGAATGGAATCCAGAGCCTCACTCCTGCTAGACTGATGCTCTTCCAGGGAGCCACACTTCTGGTCTCTCACTGGTGGTTTCTGGTCATG